TGCAGACAGTTGACACCCACCCTGCTTACCAACCTTGGTCTCACCTGAGCATCTTCTTACCCTTATTGGTATCTCTCCATCCTCACAGAGAGTTCATTGAAATACAATGCATTGGCGAGTCCAGGCTCTCTCTAGTTGGTTTCTTCTACCACAAAACTGCACTTGGAGTGACATTTCTTTCTCCTCGTGTCCAATCTCAATCTCCCTAGCTGCACTTCATGGCTTTTCTTCTTTCTCATGTTGTTGCCCAGTTTTGAGAGAAGCTCCACCACCTCAGAAACCACCCTTCATGGAGCCTCAGGCTAATCCTATACTGCCCTGAGCCTCTCTGCCACTGGGCAAAAGCGCCAAAGAAGCCCTTTTCACACAGCTCCTCCACACAGGCCATGTGCTTGAGGCCCCTAAACCCCACCTCGGAAGATTTCTCCTAGGCATGCTCCAGCTCCTCCCAACTCCTTTGAAACAGGGAGCCGACAACTGGGACAAACCCATGTGTGTGGGTCCCTACCAGTGCTGTGTCCAGAGGAATAACAGTTTCCCCAGTCTGGGTGAACATGCTCATCCTAATGAAGCCCCGAGGGCATCTGGCCTTGTTCATGACGAGCCTAAACCACTGGCTTGTATGGCATCCCTCATAGTTCCAGGTCCTTCTCCGCAGAGTCACTCAAGAAGTTTCTGTTGGCCAAATCCCGGAGTTTCTCAAGGTCTCTCTGGACTGAAGCTCTATTTGGACAGCTGTTAATGTTTGTGTGCAGGTGGCTTACTATGCTGTTGGCGTAGTCTAACAAGAGAACAGCATGAGGAGCTGCAGGGTGCTACAGACCCCAGTAGGAATTGCCAAGAACACATTCTCCAAAATATCAGAGGAGGGTAAAAAGAAATGAAAAACCAGGGTCAGTGGAGGAAAGTGTAAAAGAGCATTGAGCTGTTGGCATGGAAGGCTATATTAACAATAATAGTATACCTGTATAGATTTATTAAGGTTAGAAAAGACCCCCAGCATCATCAAGTCCCACCATCGACACACATAGAATGTGGATCCCTCCAGGAGCTGGTCTTAGATCCTCTATCTAGGATATGGCCCCAGGATCCACTCCTCCCAAGAGTTCCCCCAGAAACAAACACGCACATGCAGATGGCTCTCTTCCACACAGCAGCACACATCCACTGATGCCGGAAGACTGCCAGCTTCCACCTTCCCTGTGCTTCCTCTTCATACTTGGTTTTTGTCATAACCTCATTTCTAATCCATACCATCCTCCTGACATCTGTTCTTGTCGTTCTGCACATGGGGATGGACCATTCTGGAGCTTGAAGAGGAGATCCTTAGCCATCCAACAGCACTCTGCACACCTCTCCTATGCAGGGTTGTAACCCATGGGATTCTTCCAAGCAGGTCATCCAGCAGGCCAAAGCCTGCTCTCCTGAAGTCCTACTCTTGGCCTTGGTCCCTTCTCTCAGGATTCTACATACTACTTTCTCATTCCCAACCATGACACCTCTGAGCAGTTCTTCCTTGTTTATAAGTATGAAGTCCTGCAGAGCACCTCACTGGATGTTCTTTTTTCCACTCTGCTCCCACCAGTGAGTAGGCTTCAGGGCAGCAAGGTAACTTGCTAAAACTCCATTATGAATTGCAGCCAAATGGACGGTGACCTGTGGAGAAGTTCACGTTGAAGGTACATAATCTGAGGGGGTGGTTGCCTTTCGATAAGCCCACACCAGAACAAGTCCATC